AAGAAGGCACCGACGTGGGCAGAGCCGGGTATCACCTTCATTGCACCAGTGGTGAGTCTATGACAGACATTAATCTGCTGCAGAGTAAGATTCCAGGACTTCCTGCTATGCACTGCCTGGAGGTGAGCTGCATTTGAAGTCCATCTTTGGACCTCTGGCTCCATCATTCACCCCGCCTCCAGGGTAGAAGGTTAACCAGGTGAACTCTCCAGAGTGTAAATCAAAGACGGTATGAAAAGTTTAGAAATGGGTGGAAAAGGCAGCCACAGCGTGGACTGAGTCCTAGGAACAGGACCTTTCTCTTCTCTTTCCATTGTATCCGGCACAGCCACCTCCTTCTTCGTCTTACTTGTGCCCCACCCAGTGACTCTCTGGCCTGAGTAATGTGTGGAACCCAATGAAGACAATCTCTGAGCTTACCCCTAAGGAGGGCACAAGCGTAACAGAAGACTATAAGCCCAATATTAATCACAAATATCTGGCACGTAGTAGGTGCTAAATAAATCTTAGTTGTATGAGTGAATGATATGAAGGCATCAAGAGGAATCCTTTACCTTGTCTTTCCCCTGAGCTTTCTCTTATTTTGCAGCCCCCAATCTGATGGTTCTGAGGGGAGAGAGAAGGGCCCCTGAGAGGCAAAGGTGTACCAGGTGCTTTGCACAAGGCACCTCCCTCCATTCTTACCACACCCTTGTAGTCGGCATTGCAGGCCCTCGATCTTTTAGCCTAAAAGTCAGGTGTGCCTCAGGATTCTGATCTTTTTCAGATGTTGGAAAGATAATACTGCATAATACATGTTTTATTAGCTCAAACTCCCAGTGGGTACAGGAGCACCTTGCAAGGAAACACAATGCAAATCCTCTTCACAATGAAATATAAGCACATTCTTAAGAAGTAGGAAGCTACATAACCGCAGATCAGTTTAGGTCAGGTCTTGTTGCTGAGTGAAGTACGAAATGCCTCTGATTTTCAGAATGTGGGACTTTGGATATGGTGGATATGAATGAGACTGTGGGTCTGTGAAATCCTCACTTTTTGGATGAGGCACCTGAGGTTCAGAGGGCTGAAATAGCGTGCCCAAGACCACTCCACTAAGGCAAAGAGTCCGGATGAAGACGCAGCCTCAGCCAACCCCGAAGCCCACGCTCTTTCTACTGTGCACTTTTGGGCTTCTGTCTTGTGGGCAGACGTTTCTGGTGCTCAGAGGCTTGGAGCCATCAGGAAGACCAAGTTTGGTAAGAGAGCAATGCTTCCATCTACTGGACATATGCCGGAATGACATCTGACCCTCGCGGAGAAATGAAACTTGTCCCAATACTGGATCCTTAAGAAGAGCGGCCGAATTGTCTTCCCCTTAGGTAACTGTCCAATCACATTTCAGAAGCCAGGAAGTTGCTTGTAAACTACCCGTACAGAAAACATCCTTCAAAATAACGACAAGAATAATGAAACGCCTACTTCCCAGGAATTCTAGAGTGAAAGTGCCAGTTTCACCGTTCTCAGTACCTCCTGGTCACCACGTCGGCGGAACCAGCTGTTCTCCACCCGACTTCTTGCTGTCTCTGGAACCTTACTGTACTCGTATCCTCTATTACAGCACCTGGAGCTGCCTACTGCGTTAGCGTGCACTGCTTGCTTCCTCTGCGCACTCCTAGCTCCTGCACCTTTCAGGGTACCTGGAATGCAAAGGGGGTTTGGTCATTTCTGAGAGATAAAAAATTAGAGTAAATATTTCATTACCTTAAGACACTGAAACAGTTATTAATTAAATGCATATAATCATTGTCAGGCCTCTAAATCACAGTGTAATTATACTTTAAAAATCTATTGAATATGAATTTTGGTAGAAGACGGGATGGAAAGAGCTCGGAGACATTTGTTTCCCTAAAGAAGGATGATTGTCAAAGAATCACAATATGCAGAGTAATTTGTGCCTATAAGAAATGATGCTTTCCTTAAATTTCCCACATCATCTTTTCTCTTCTCAGTGTCTTGAATTTCTCAAAATAAAACCTCAAAATCAATTATTCAAGGAAATAAAAAACTGTATATGGAATATGGTACTTTAGAAGTTAGGGTGGGTTACAAAATAAACAGGTATAAATTTTTTCAGGTACTTGTATTGTTTTCTAATAGCTTTATATAGCTAAACTTTACATTCCTTTGCCCTGGCTGGTGTGGCTCAATAGAGCGCCACCCTGCGAACCAAAGGTTTGTGGGTTTGATTCCCAGTCAGGGCACGTGCCTGGTTTGCAGGCCAGGTCCCCAGTAAAGGGCGCATGAGAGGCAACTGTGCATTGATGTTTCTCTCCCTCTCTTTCTTCCTTCCCCTCTGTCTAAAAATAAATAAATAAAATCTTTAAAAATATTTACATTCCTTTTAGAGCATACAATTTAGTGGGTTTTAGTATATTCCCAAAGTTGTGCACCTATTGCCACAATCAGTTCTAGAACTTTGCATCATCTCCCAAAGAAACCCCACACCCTTTAACTATCTATCAACCCTCAAGTTCCTGCTACTGACACATCACCACCCGAGCCCCTGGCAACCACTAATCTACTTTCTGTCTCCTTGGATTTGCCTACTATAGACATTTCATGTAAGTGTAATTATATAATATGTGGTGTTTTGTGACTGGCTTCTTTCACTTAGTATAACATAGTCGAAGCTCATCCATGTTGTAGCATGTATTTGTCCCTTTCTATGTTCTGGAGTATGACAATGTCACATTGGTTTATCCTTTCATTGATTGGTGGATATTTGGGTTGTTTCTGCGGCAGCTATTATGTATAAGGCTACCGGGAACACTCGTGTGCGTGTTTTTGTGTGGACATGTAGTTCTCTTGGGTGTGCATCTAGGAGTGGAATTGCTGCATGAGATAACACAGGTAGGTCTTTGTCCCTCCCCCAAAATAAAAGCATCCCAGGACAGAGCTTGGAGTACTGGCCTCCTGTCCCAGTACCAGACGTGCAGTTCCTCACGCACTGACTGGAACACGTGAATAGATGATGTTTGCAATTCCAGCGTGACACGCAGTGGGGGGTTGAGACACCAGACATGAATAAAATGACTCTTTCTTAAAACCAAAATCATGGACAATTTTAACACTGACAGGTAAAATTGCAAAATGTACTTCCCAGCACCCTGGCCGCGTGTCTGTGTACTGACGACAACCATACCTTACAGGGCTGTCGTGTTAAAATTGCTTCCATCTGAGGAGGATGCAGAGACCTGGTACACGCAGTAGGCCTTCGATCAGTGTTTGGTGGGCAGTTAGATGGGTTATGCCCCCGCATGCACAAGCCAACCCACACTCGCTCTTCTGTGAAACACGGTCTAGCTTTAACCTAGAAAAGGTGAGGTTTTCATCTCACCTTCAGCTCTGTCTTTTGCTGCCCAATATGAGATCATTACACCTGGGTCTCCATTCATGACCTCAAAGCAGCTAGTTTAACGAGTGAAAAGAGCTGACTGATCTCTCGAATCTTGCTCTCAAGATGCGAGTTAGAACTGCCAGCTCACCAGTTATGCCTGGCAACGTTCTCACACCCTTGTGGTGAGCTGTGCCCACCGAGCCAACCACTCTTCAAGTCTGTGATTTTTGCCCGCAGCTGGGGGCATGATCGATCTTTTAAAAACACGTGTTGTCTATTTTTAGACATCGGATAGACTCAATCTGCCTACCTCTTTTCAGGGTGATTCTTGACATCATTTGCAGGCAAACACCATGTGAGGGAGTTCTATTTTATTTTACTGTTATGTTTAAATATGTTTAAAAATAGGCATCGAGTTAAATACTTTTAATGGTGGGTTACATTTTATTAGGATTATTTCCACACTAAAATGACTTTAAAATGATAGAATCTCTACATTTTAGAACATGAACACATTTCGATTACTTTCAAGTTCAGGTACAAAACTCAAGCCAGAACAGAAAAACGTCACCTCGGTCAGTCCTGCTTTGCTGACTGAATAAAAAATAACATGTAATCAGTACATCAAATCAACAGTTTAAAGATGACTAGCCTCGGTGTAGTTTTTGAAATTAAAGCTATTTCTAAAGCATTTGAAACTTTCTAATTTGACAAATAGGCAATTTTTTTCTTATAATCTTGTTTACACTATTCATTTCTTTATTACCCCCCTTTTAAAATAACAGAACAGAGGAGGCATTGTCATGTCCTGTGGTGAACACATCTCTAATTGGCACCATGAGAATGACCCCGTTTTATGGCAGGGGTCAACAAGTACCCTAAGGGTCCCAATTTGTGGTGGCATTTGATGACTCACAGACAGGCCACCCTCCGGGCAGTAACCAACAACTGCATCTCCAATGGCCTCACCCCCCACACCTCCACCCCAGCACCTTCAGGAGTCAAATCACAAGTGTTTCAGACTCATGCTGGGCAGGGGCAGGGGGGGCACAAGGAGGCAGAGTTTGTAACTTGGAACTGGACCCTGTTTAGGAAAGGTAGTTAATTCTTATGTTACCATCCTAGAAAGACCTAGAACTAAGAGAGGGCCTTGAAGAGAATCATTGCCCCTCCTCTCACACACCACGCACTGCATTGTGGGCCCAGATGGGTACATGCAGAAGTTCGACCCGGCAGGACCCTCCTGAGCCCATAGCTTGACATTTTCCCTGCAACCTTTTACTAGCTAGTATTATTGTGGTTGTTATTTTTTTTTAACTAGAAGGGGAAAAAACAATCAGGAGGGATGTGGGTGTGTATATTTCTTGGAATTCAGAGATTTAGGAGGAGGGACCTTCCATAAAAAAATGTCCCCAGCACAAAAGTTGGCGAAACAACTAGTTCTGTTAGGGAAAAAAAAAAAAAAGCTGAACTGTGTAACAGGAGAAATTCTCTCATAAGGAGGGGGTGTTCCTGAGCCAAGTTTAGGCAGAGGAAAATTTTTCCAGCATGTCAGGAATGAAGCTGACATTCCATTAAGGGGAAAAAAAAAGGGCCAGAGGAAAGAGTGAGGAGGGGAAGCCACCGGAATGCAGACAGAGCTTTCCATTCCAGACAGGCCACAGCAGAGAGGGCTCTCGGAGATCCCCCTCTGCAGGCAGGCAACGTTGACTTCTCTCTTGAGCTCCCAGCCCCAGTGGACATTTCCTGTTCTGCTTCTGGAAATTAAAGCCCAAAATTGCAAAACATCCTTTTCTCTGGTCCGAGACCATCCCCTCCCCACGCTGCTGATCTCAGTCCTGCCCTCCTCTTCCTTCCTTGGAACCCCGCCCTGACCAGCGGCTCGGCTTCCCAAGGAGAGATGATGGATCTGTAGCAGGTGGTGCCAGTGCCAGAGAGAAACGACCCTGGGACCACGGCTGAAGAGGTAGGAACTGAGGGACTGGACATTCTTGCCATCGCTTGACATTTATTGAGCAAAACGAGACGCTTGTCCTTTAAGCCTTGGGCCGAGGGCATGTGCACTGACGGTGCGTGTCGTGGGTGGATGGACTCAGGGGACGAGGTCAGGCATTTCTCTCCCACCATCTGTCCAAACTTAACTTTAATTCCTGGGTCCCCGGAAGCACACGTTTTGTTTGAGTTCTGATGTGAAACGTGTTATGGCCGAATTCTGGGAAATTCCTGATTTTCTTTCTTCCTTCTTTTCTCCATCCTTCCATCCTTCCTTCTTTCCTCCCTTCCTCTTGCTCTCTCCCCCTCCCTCCATCCTTTTCTTCCTTCATTTCTTCTTTCTTCCTTCATTTCTTCTATCTTTTTATCTCTTCCTTTCCTTTCCTTTCCTTTCCTTTCCTTTCCTTTCCTTTCCTTTCCTTTCCTTTCCTTTCCTTTCCTTTCCTTTCCTTTCCTTTCCTTTCCTTTCCTTTCCTTTCCTTTCCTTTCCTTTCCTTTCCTTTCCTTTCCTTTCCTTTCCTTTCCTTTCCTTTCCTTTCCTTTCCTTTCCTTTCCTTTCCTTTCCTTTCCTTTCCTTTCTTTTCTCTTTTTCCCCGGAATGTCAAGGAGCATTTATAAATATTTTCAGCTCTGAATACCTTCAGAGAGAAGCGACCGAAAAGAAAGTCTAGGAAGAGGCATCCTTGCTGTGATGACCTGGGGTGGCGCTGTGTCCCAGTGCCCGGACCGTGTATCCTTCTGGCTCTCCCCATGCTCTCTCCTTCCCTGTCTCCCACCCACGGTCGTGGATGGGGACACACACCTTGAATTGCCCTCTAGGCAAGGAAATGGGGCATCTTGAGCACCAGTGCCGTGCACTTAGGGGCGGAGCCCAGGTGCTGTGTGGGACTTAGCTGTCTGTGACAGGGCTCACTGGTTTACCCAGAAAGCTGCATGTGTCCTTGGCTTCCTTGGGGATATGCTCCTGGCTGTCATCACCGAAAGGCTACCTTTGGTAACACGTGTGCTGACATTGGAGTGACTCAGAGGGCTTAGCATGGTTTCTGCACAAGGAGCACTCCAAAATTCATGAAGCAATCACAAAGCCTTTCAAATGCCCTTTCTCTGCACGTCTGCGGCATTGGTTTCTCTAAATCACACATTTTTGTCTTTAGCCACATGCCGCTGGGCACTGTTCTCTAAGAGGCTAAACAACTGGGGGAATGAATTGGACAAAACTAGTCATAACTTATTAGTTGGTGATCGCAAGGCAGCCACTGACTCTTGCTGAGCACTTGGTATATGCCAGGCACCATTCTCAGGGTGGTAAGTATCAGCAGCAGCACCCACATCTTACAGATGGGGAGACTGAGGCAGGGGACACAACTAGTAAGTGGCAGAGGAGGGATCGGAACTGAAGTAGCCCCAGTCTGCAGTGCAGTTCCAGCCTTGTCTAGCTGGGTGACTTTGGACAGGTTCAGTGTTCTCAGTCTCAGTTTCCTTATCTGGGAAATGGGGTAGTAATACACTCACCTCGGGGAGGTGTTGTGAAAGGTAAATGCATTGTAAAGGAGTGTTTTTCTGAAGCAGCTGAACAATGGAAGCATGTTCTCCCCAACCCTGGGAGTGTGTCTTATGGATGGAGGGATCACTGGCCACCGAAAAGCCTCAGGTTCTGCAGGGGGGCCACAGTGCCTGGTTAGGACTGTACCTTCCACCAGGCACATCGGGGCTCAGGGGCCAGCCAGTGCAAGACTGCAGCTCACTAGACTGTAGCTCCCTAGGACGGGATTCATGTTTTATACCCATTTGTGTCTCTTAGAAAATGTCTCTTTAGCGACAGTCTAAGAACATCACTGCTCTTCAGAAGGGGTACTGGATCCCCTTTGGGAAGGAGTTCAACCAGGAGCCTGTGGGACCCACCTTTTCTCATTCCCAAGGAAGCAGCTATGTCTTTACCTGATTTATACGGTGGGGTGCCCGGCTGAAAGTTATGAAAAACTTTCACCTGCTGACCTGGAACAAGGAACGCTCTGTCTAGACTGAAATGATGGCTTACGGAACAGAGCTGGTTTACACACGGATTTCTAGCTTGGCCCTCCTCACCTGCCTCCTGCTTAATGACCGTCTCCTGCCCTGGGAGGCACATGCTGCCAGGCTCAGGAGGTGAGCGCTCCCATCTCAGGCAGCCCTCCTTCAGGTGCAGCGGCAGACGAGGGGCGGGGCGCGGAGAGCGGAGATCACACCCTGGCCTCTCTCTGAGTCTTTTCTGAATGTGCCTTTCTCACATCTCACAGCTGTGGGCCGTGTGATCAATAATCATAATAGTTATTAGAGATCTCCCTCACAGATAACGGCTTCCTTATCGAGACCTTGTGCCGAGCACACCACACATAGTTCACGCACCCCCGCAGAAGCCCTGTAAGGCAGCCGTCGGCGTGATGCCCACTCTGCTGATGAGGCGTCTGAAGGCAGAGACATTCGGCGACTTGCTCAAGGGTCACCCAGCCAGTCAGTGGTGGTAAAGGTGGGATCGAAGCTGTATCCCCCGAGTCTGAGCAAACTGCCTTGAGTATTTTCGCAGCCCATGTGGCAGAGGTGAGAGGAATATTGTGAGTACAGGTCTTTCATAGTCTTGGCAAAGGATGCCCCGAGAACAGTCTGGGAGGAACAGTGACTGGGCCAGGACAGAGTGTTCCCTGGGAGGAAGGGCACCTCAGGGTTCTTGTCCAAGCTGTACCTCTGATAAACTTGGCCTCTCCTCTGAGCGGTCGTAGGATTTTGTGGCAAAGAGCCAGCTCTGGAGCCAGACTGCCCCGGCTCAACTCCCAGCTCGCCACGTGTTAGCTAGGTTGTCTTATAAATATTATAAAGAATGACTTCAAGGTAGAGGGATGAAAATAACAGTTCCTATTTCACAGAGATATTATGATCTCTGTGACCACATAAAGCATTGAGAACTGTGCCTGGCCCACAGTAAGCAGTCAGTAAATATGTTACTCTGTGTGAAAGGTGGCTGGGTTACTTTCAGGTAAGGTAGTTGGGTGGCGGTCTGGAAACAAGACGTAACTGGTGTCTGAGACCGTGCAATGGGCACCCCTGGTTTGAACGGTGAGCTGTGGCCGAGAGGGTGATGCCCAGGCCCAGCCAGGAGCAACGCCGCGTCCCGGACAGATGGCTTAGGACCCACGAGAAAGAGCTTAGAGGTTGTGCCAGGGGTTAAGGAGAGAGACCCCAAACAGCTCATCTTTAGAGTTGGATTTGCCGAACCAGGTCTTTTTGATGAAATGAAGTATAATTTATCAATCTTCGTAGTTATGGAAATTAGTGCCAACCATGAGACCTATTGTTATTTTTTAATGCTTGTTTTTATCAATGATTAAGTGACTTTGGCTGAACCACTTGTGTTTTTGGAAGGATGATTTCAGGATTTCAAGCTGAGATATAAAATTTAAGAGCTAAGTGAAGCTGATTAGAAACACAGTAAGGAGATTGTGGTTTATAAATGAATTCTGGTGCCCTCCCAGAGGGGCCCCCCCCCCGTCCCCAGGACTCCTCTCCCCCCTTCTGAAGGGGTCTCAGTCACTCTCTAACCACACAGAGAAGGGCCCAGCGGGGGGCCTCGCACTGAGCCCCGCTCTGGCCCTAACCGCAGCACCCCATAGCTAAAACGAATCCTGTCACCTGTTCATCTAAGCCTCCTCTGACCAGTGCTTGACTTTCAGCAGGCCACTGGACAGTGATTAACAAGAGAATTGATATGCAGGTGCAGCTCCAATGGGAGACTTAGGTTTCACTGCCGTAGTGAAGAGGAAAAGCATTTCAGAGAAAGGAGACTTCCTAGGTACCCCTAGCCACACACCACAGTGATTAACTCGTTAATCACCCCAAAGCTGGGAAGACAAACTCCTTCCCGAGGGTCCAAAGTCCAGACTGAAAACTTGTCCTGTGTTACTTGATAGAGAAGACACTTTTCTGAGATTTTTAAACATTCAGAGCATCGTCTCAACCCGGTCAGCTCTCGGCAGCAGTTGAGGGGTGTGATGTTCTTCCCAGGTGCTCAGAGCCCTGTCTTTGTCCCTCTCCTTTTCCCTACGGGCCCTTTTCCCTCCCTCCTGGTCTGCCTCTCACTTCTAGACTCCCCTTCCTTCCGCACCTGTCGGAAGGCCTTTAGGCCCCGAACTCACCGAACAACCTTATGGCACTCATCCCCCAAGGCGGCGTGTGCTTACAACAAGAATCAGTTTTTCTTTTCTCTTCATTTCTGCTTGTTTATTTGTTTGTTTGTTTGTTTATTTATTTGTTGGGGCTGGAAACAACAAGAGAATTTAGAAATCAACAGTTTGGGGACAGTTTTTAAAATGTAAGATTTATTTTTTGATTACTGTTTATATTCAATACTATTTTGTATACGTTTCAGCTGTATAGCATCGTGGTTAGACAACCATATACTTTACAAAATGCTCCCCCTGGTATTTCCAGCACCGAACTGGCACCATAATAGATATTACAATATTATTGACTGTATACCCTATGCTGTAACTTACATCCATGTGACTGTTCTGTAACTACCAAACTGTACTTCTTCTTAAAAATATTTTATTTGTTTATTTTTAGAGGGAGGGGAGGGGAAGGAGAAAGAGTGGGAGAGAAACGTCAATGTGTGGTTGCCTCTCATGTGTCCCCTACTGGGGACCTGTCCTGCAACCCAAGCATGTGCACGGACTGGGAATCGAACTGGCAACCCTTTGCTTCAGAGGCCCGTGCTCAATCCACTGAGCTACATCAGCCAGGGCCAAATTGTACTTCTTAATTCCTTCACCTTTTTCACCCAGCCCTCAAACCCCGTCCACTTTGGCATCCATCAGTCTGTTCTCTGTATCTGTGAGTCTGTGTCTGTTTCTGTTTATTTTGTTCTTTAGATTTTACATATAATTGAAATTATATGGTATTTGTCCTTCTATAACTGACTTATTTCAGTTAGTGTAACACCCT